AGCTTTGGAGCTTGTGCAGAAAAAAAGAGCCGACTGAAAGTAAGCTGTAAGGGGTAAAAGTATTTGTGTTATGATGGGGTAACTCAAGGTTCAATGCTCTGCCCCCTGCCGCTAAACAATTACCCTTACATAAAGCGTCTGGGGTTACACGGGTAAGTCAGTGTTGCCACACAAGGAGCTAGTCTGCTGCTGCTTGGACCCTATTACAGTCCAGCTCCTGAACGGGCTGAACGGTGAGGACAAATTGAGCTTCCTCTGTAACCCCCAATGACTAGTTTTCTGCAGAGCACATTCATGCAAATAAAAATGAGAAAAATTATTAACTGAGGTGTTATCTTGTGCTTCCGTTTATGAGTTTTAATGAGGAGGTGTAAAGAACGCAGGAGTCGCTGATGATCTTACGCAGACCCCATTAGCACGCCGACAGGAGGCGCAACCTTGTTCTCTGCTGGGGAGTTCTGGTAAAACGTGTCAGAGCGGTTCACCCGGAGCAGAGGCGGGATGCTGGAAGATCTGATGTGGAGGATCCTGGTGTCTGTTACTACACAGTCAATCTGCATCATCACCTCAAAGTCTTTGTCCCTTATAATGCTGTCTGTAAGGCAAGAAAGGGAGAAGAAGGTTGTGAAATAAATCTGCAAATAAAGTTAGCGTACCTTCATTTTGGTGTTTGCTCGAGTGGAGCGAGTGGAAGTGTACTGAGTATTGTTTGAGACAGTTGACATTAGGTAGGGGGGATAACTGCAGGGAGTTTGGGTGGAGGCTGGGCTACACAGATGGAGTCCAGAGGTGAGTCACACGCTGGATTTCTCCATCGTGGAGATAAACAAAACATCTCTAAACAAGAGCAGGACATGCGAACTGGAAAGAAGAAAAGTCTGGCGAGAGTGTGGGAGAAAGAAAGAGTGATTGCAGATGATGAGTCAGGATGCTTCTTGCTGGGCTGAGAGACGAAGAGAAAGTTTGGCAAAGCTGAAAAGTCAGAAAGTTTTTGCCGCTGATGAGTCAGGCTGTTGTGTTTGAAGAAACCCGGGGAAAGCAGATGGTGTACAGTGCAGACAACGTTAAATACTGTATGTTTCACAGAGTCATCTGAAAGCTTGACCTACAAACAAGCAATCTGCTTTTATTTTGGAAAATTTAAACTTGGAAAAAGATACTGGACTTCACACAAGTGGTTCATAGTTTGTGGTATCCAGCAAGATATCTGCACTCAGCCTGGGGTGGAAAAAACACCCTTTAAAGTGGACATTCTTATAAACTTTTTCTGGGGAGAAATGGGAATTTAAACATGTTGAAGGGTCGCTTATATATTCACACTAACAAATAACTTGCGGCTTCTTTTGTGTGGGGGTTGAGATAAAATTCCCCATATGCATCACACCCAATCCAAACAGCCTGCAAAGATCTTTTAAAAAGCTTTGGTCATTTTTCCAGATACCTGTGTAAGCCATCAGCTTCCTAATCGTTCATCAGGACATACATTTGGAGGCAGTGGGAGTTCATCTGATTGTACAGAGGCTATAAAATAGCTCCTTCTCAAGACGGAAGATTCCACTGATGTTCATATCATTAGACAGCTAGTACCGGTAACTCTGACTTCATCTGCTGATAAACCTCCGATTTTGCACCTGCACTGAAACCAGAGCTTTTCCAATAGCTTCAGTGTTTCAGCAGACATCTCTGGAAGTCATTCTCTGCATCTGGATTTGTCGCTTTATGACCCTCTCAATTTAGGTCTGAAGGAGACTGGAAAAATGAATCATGTATATTGCAGCTGGATCAGTTCAAGGTCCCGTGCCTCTGAGAGGCTGGACTTATCACAGTGAGTTTACACATTTTTCGCCTTTTACGTTCAAAAGCAATAAAATCCACCCATGGCAAGGAACGCAGCTTTTGCTGCTACACTTGGACTTATGTGACCACTTGCTTGCAGAGATCAGCTGCTGTTAGCAGACATGAGATGAATAAATACTGTTTTTGTTCAGCCAAGCGGTTACTTGAGCTAAATGCTAAAAACAGCCTGCTAACATGCTGTGTTTACCATTTTAGTTCTATTTGCCAAATAGTGCTCCTGTAAATACAAATACTCACTATTTCAGTCGCACTTTGTTATTCCTTAATGAAATCAATACTTTTTAAGTGTACAGCAATGACCCTGTCATTTCTGGGCTACTGCCTAAACCATTATCCAAACTCAGGACTTACATGTAATACTCGACTCGGTTTACATCAGTCTTTCACCAGAATGCCAAACTGTGTAATGTCTTTTTAACTAACAGCTTGTGAGGCCTGAACAGTGAAAGAGGAAACACACAAACACACAGCTTTCAAATAGCAAGTCTTTGAAGAGGCTGCCAGATCTGCCATCCTGCTCTGCGTGGTCTCATTTCCTCCTTATACTGGTACCATCTGGATCTGTTTCAGAAACCTTCAGCGTCACAGCGAGCTGGTCTACGCTGATAAAGGCCCGATGTCTGGCAGCGGTGCATCTGAGGAAACCTGAGAGTGCATCTCAGGAGGACGTTGGCTGCCAGATTGGAACAAACTCTAAGGATATGTTCATGAAGGAAGGCCTTTTATTTTGTTTACATCAAAAGGAAGCATTATTCATCAGTAAGTACGGTCCCAAACTAAATAATGTGATTTAGGACAATGAAAATAAATGGAGGGTCACATTCACACAAACCATCAGTCCAGTTTTAATGAACTTTTCCAGTATGTTCGGCTTTAACTTACTAAACTACAAGCTATCATTCTACAGTAGAATGTAAGAGCCAATTAGAAGCAAAAAAAGTAATGCTCACCATTAGAAATAAAGAATAATACGCTTAGATTTGACTTAGTAACTGCCAGTTGTGAGGGGGAAAAACTGTCTGGTGAGAAGTTGCTAGCAGTAGCTGCAAAATCAATTGCTAAAGCCCCGATCACGGAGGCCTGCAGTCTGTGAGCCCTTGGCCATTGTTGATCACTAGGGAAACGTTTATATTCTGCAACTGGTTTGTGAGTGGTTGCTGGTAGTGCTGTGGTGCTGCTGCAGCGAAATCCTCCTTTTTAACCCGCTAGCAGGTTGCTGCGGTCATTTCCATAGAAAATGCCATTTCTGCCAGCTGTCCTGGATACAGAGTCTGTCTGCATTCAAAGTAAAAAAGCTGCACCTTTCAAAATGTGTTGGCTGCTGTGGGACAGCAAAACTTTTATTTTGAAGGGAAATGTTCTCCATTTCCTAATATTTCAAGTTTTCAAGTTGGGGAATCCACATTTTTCCCTAGCAACCAGAGGTTTCCAGGGGGATCACTGACTGGTCTCTATGACTGAAGCCTTACTGAATTCAACCAACAAGTGGTTAAGATTCATCTGAACCGCAGCGCTCAATGATGGACCAAACAAGTCATTTCTAAAGGCACATAATCACTATAGTCACTGGAGTCTTATTTTTCTGGAGTGGCTTGAGTTAAACATTTGGTTTGGTGAGAGTGAACTCCATTTCTGAGTCCTGCTGTTTAGATTAGGGAAGTAGGAAAATCTGACCCTCAAGTCAATCAGCAGTATAGAACTGTACATTGAACCCCCAGTGAAAGGCAGCCTGTTGGCTACAGTGCGCATGTATAATCTCACAGAAGTAAAAATAGACTGCAGTGCGTCTCATACATCCATCCACCTGTAAGTGATGTCAACCCTGAAAAATTCCCCTCTTTCAAACACGTCGCTTTCAATTGATTGAGCTACTTTCAAACTCAGAGGATTACTGAATAAACACACCCCACAGCCCTTATAAGGAGCCACTGCTGTGGCTGATACATTTTTAGAGAAAACCAAATATGTCTAGATTAAATAACTCTATGAAGTGTGGACGTTAGATCAAAAACTCCATCTTTAATGTTCAGTTATTGACCAAGACAGACTAAATGATCACTCCAGATTAGCCAAGCCTCTCCATCTCCTCCAGATGAAAACTATTTAGTGACTAGAGAAGGAAGGCATTCTTAAAGCAGAGCAGCAACAGGGAGCTGGAAAGAATTATCTTCCAGTACAGTATTACTCTCCAGTAAGAGGACAGTGTTTCTCCTTCTCTAAGGGTCTCACCCAACTAAATATGCATACATTTGCACTTAATCACTTCAAAGGTCCAAACAAGGACAGCATAAATCTAAAATGCTACTTGAAGGCTGCTATCTGTGCAGCACATGGGGCTCCATATCTAAAAGGAAAGAGGACTGTGTGGAGATTATGCTTCAGGAGAATTACTGCATCCTTTGCTTTGTCTTAGTCCTCACAGTCACAAGGCAGGAGCAGTTGTGTTACTTCTGAACATAAAACGGGTGTTAGCCCTCTCCCTAGGAACTACCGCAGCATCGAGCCAACTTATTACACGCAAAGACACGAACAGACAGGCATTAACCCGCTGTTTTGAATTTGTAACTCAATTCAAGCGTCCATGACAGATCATGCAAATTTGAGACCTTTGTTGAGCAATCGAGAATCTTTCCAGACCTGACGTTTCTTTATAAATGCCACCTTTGTTTGGCCATTTCAACAATTAGCTCACAAGCACATCTTGGATTTCACTATTTACTGCTTATTTCAATGGTTGCATTTGACTGGCCTGGACCTTAACATTCCTCCCTGACAAGACCAACCGAGAACAATGTTTACCTTCATCTATCTTCACCTAACACCCATCTCACAGAAAAAAAAAATCTAAATGGCCTCGTCTCTCCTGCTGAGTGAGCGGCTCACATTTCACCCACTCACTCCTCCCAGGGTTAGCTGCTGAAACATTAACCAAATTGGATGCTTCTCCACTCACAAGTATGAAGTTAACAGGAAAACAAAAAGGTTCTCAAATAAAAATGACAGTTCAACTGTTAACAACAGTGTGGTGTCTTCCTATTTGCTTACATCAGACATAAACACAGCCCCTCTTGAGCGCGTTCTCTCTCAGCTCACTTCTACACGTGCTTTGTGAAAATGTGTTACTGAAGCATCTAATGACCTGACTTTGATAGAACGCACTGATAATCCTGCAGATCTGACAGCCGTGAAGCAAAGTCTCGATGACGTCATGGATGTCAAAAACATGCATACACCAATTGTCAATCATTTGAGAATATGCACAAGTGCAAGTCTACACTTTCTGCTGATCCAGTGTTTGTTTTTGAAGGCAGGTGGTGAAAATAAATGAGCGACTACATGAGCTGGAAAGCAGCCCCCAGAACGCAACCAAGCGCGCTCTGATTGCCACCCACTCTGTCCACAGCTGTGGACCGCAAGAGCGTTTTCAAGAGTAAGTTGAGTCAGATGAGCTGTGTCTCTGCTCTCCCATCTGAAGCGGACATGAAATTTGCTTTAAGTTATTTGATTATTAAATGACAAGTTATTATGTGACTCAGTAACAATGAATGAATTGACCAGTGTACTCTGAGCAAAGTGCTTAGACTTTCAAGTAGGTTTAATAGTCAACTGATGCACTCCAGGCAAGAAACCAATGTTCTTCACTTATTTCTTTGCTTAACTGTTGTTTAATTTGCTTCTAAACTAAACCCTTCAAAACACAACCACAGAAGTAAAACACAAAACTCTTTGTTCTAATAGAATTTCTAACCCTTTTTTTCTGTAAATGTCTGAGGCCACAAGTAATGCATTCTTGTGGGCAAACGTGATTGAGAATGTGAACCTGGGCTGCCTTTTCTCTGCCACATCGTGCTGCACTTCTTACCATTTATGTTCATGGCTGGCAACACGACAGACATCTTGGGTGGACTTCCTTTATTGTGGCTGGTGGCAGGAAGTAGGAGATGATCCTGAGAACAAAGAAGAGAAGGTTGGAAATTGGAGAACGCAACAAACTCAAAGCAAACAAAACATTTGGCTTGTATGTGTTTAATGATAAAGAGGCCTTTCACAATGAGTTTAGAGCCTTTTCTTAAAGAATACACACGATCAGCTTCAGCAGCTTAACGAGGCTTCTGTCATCACGGGCAAGATAATAGGTGGAAGAAGCTGGGAGACGTTACAAGTTGCTTGTATTATTTATCAGAGCATGAAGCCGTTTGTTCCACAAAATGACTCCAAGCTGAAACTTTTAAAGCTATTAGAAGCACTGCTGTGTAAAACTAATCTATATCCAGTGCACATTTTAACAGATGAGTAAAACTAGCAAAGCTAATTAATTAATTAATATTAATAATAATGATAACAAAAACAAAGAAAAGGAGGAGATTAAGACAAAAACAGAGTCTAAGAATGAAACAGGATGACAAAAGATGGTTCTTATTCTTTTCACAGTTTGTGAGGCAAAAACATATTTGTGAACCCATGGAGGCTGAGAAAACCTAAACAGCTGCATCGACGCCTGCTGAAGACAATATCATGTGACCGGTGTAACGTTAACAACAGTGAACCTCAGCAGGTAACTGTGAGGTTCTGGTGTGAGTGACATGACGAATTAAGGTTGCTAAGGTGACGGTAGACAGGAATATGGGTCCAGGAGATGGATTACAGAAAATAAACAGGACAGGGCAATGACAGTTTCTATTTCATAACAGTGAATACGAGAATGTGCTTCGTAGTTTCTGTAACGTTTCATCAAAATGGTGCAAAAATTCATAAAGAATTTTGTTTCGGTTAAGTGTATGTTGTGATCTGTGCTCATGGGAACTAAATGTAAGCTGAAAAGGTGAAATTATGTGTTAAAAATGACGGCGTGTCTGTGATTGGAGAGTGGAAGGAAAAACAGAAAACACCAGCCACATTACTGCTCCTCATCAGGGGCTTGACAAGTCCACATGACAGCTGATGCTGCCATAGCGATGGCTGAAAGCTGGCAGTGTTTCCATCACGTCGCCCCAATGCACACTTACATAAAGCCACAGGCGCCACAACAGCATCAGAAGTGACACAGGGCCACACAATGACGGCAGAGTAAGACACGCCTGGACGATTCTTTCTTTAGCTCGCTGAGAGTTGTGTTTTCCATCGTCTTACCTCATTTACTACCTAAATTAAGACACAGGTGGTAACGCATCTGCACGGCCTTAAGCTGCCTTGATCGAAACGTGACCTTTTTGCAACATACTGCACAGAGTGACTTCAACTGCTGGAAGGTGCAAGAACAGACCATAATGAAAAAATACTTTTGTCTCAAGGGACAAAACTCAAAAAAATTTGTGACTGGCTTTAAAATATAAACAATTTAATCCAGAACTTTGGCAGTCTTGTAATAACATCATACCAACTGGAACAAAAAAAAGCAAAAGCATTCCTGCTTTGTCAGACACACACACCCCGAAACCCAGGAAACCAAATACAGGCAAATAAACGGAGAGAGAAAAGCTAACGAGGTCTGTGAGAATTAAAAGATGGTCACAGTGAATGACTGGCCTGTAACTAAAACACTTTACATGAAGTGTCTATTTATCATTTCGTCCTTATGTTTTTGTCATATTCATTTAAAAAAGTATTTTTGAATGCTATCTCCAGTTGAATAAAATCAAGATAAGATCAGATAACACACAGAAAGAAGAGGAATGGGCTAAAATGTGGAAAATGCAAGTGTAAGAGAAACACCTGAATAAAGTGCAATTCACCTTTAAAGAGTTCAAAATCTAAGAAACAAATTCCTAAATCTAACAAATCCACTGAAGCGCTTCATTATTGGTATTTTCTGTCTTTTTAATGCCTTTTTTTTGTAAGGAATGACTGGTTAATCAAACTAAAAAGCTGCCCTAAATTTACGTTTGAACTATTCAATTGTTTGTAAAATATCCACAAAGTTTCCTTTTGCCAAAAAACTTTTGTGAATGAAAGTTAAAAAGAGAGAGAGAGGGAGAGAGATTATTACCTGTAATGTTAATGGTTTCTGACGCGAAGTTGGAGAAAGCAGACCACCCTCCTCCCCCTGCATCACAAAGCTGCTACAAACTAAAGGCTGGCTACTTGACCTGCAAAGACCTTCACCTCGGGTACACCATTGTTGCCTTTGTCCTTGTCGTCACTATGCCAACCTAAAGCCGAACCTTTGTGTCTCTATCTTTGGATACATATGTCAAAATTCTCACCGCCCTGACTAACCCTGAGCTTACCTTCACCGAGATTATCCAGCAGTCTAGAGCAGGAACATCCTTAGCCTTTCCAGTTAAACTCAGTCCAGCTTAATTATCACCAACCACAGAAAAAATAAAAAAAAATGAAAAGAGAGAACAAAAAGGTGTTTTCCAGCTTCAAAAGAGTTTTTGATAGCAAATTTAATAATATCTCAGTGCTATCACTTTGGAAGCCGCTGTGCGTTTTTGTTGTTCAGAGAGATGGCAAAGAATAAAACTCCTGTAAAACTCAAAGCAAAAAGTTTACCGTGAACCAAACTAATTTCCCTTTTTCCTGGTTAGAATGAAGGGATGAAAGGCAGATATGAATATCATCAAGATAAGACTACAAGCCACATTTAACCATACATTTATATAGTGCTTTGTTCTATAAACTTGCAGGCCAATTTAAAACAAATAAAACCAAACAAGCACGCTTTCCAGAAAACTGGAATGGCCGATGGAAGCCCGTACCGGCACCGGCAAACTCCACACAGAATGGTTTGAGCAGAGCTTCTTGCTGTGAGGTAACAGTAATAACCAGTACCCCCCTGGCACTTAGTCTCAAATGCGCAACAATTAATAAAGATCAAGATAACTGACAGTAATATTTGGAAACTGGCCTTTGGTTCAAAAGAAACCTCTCTGCTGAAGAAGAGAGACATTGCACTAAATTTGAATCCCTTGCTTAATTTTGGTTTAATCACAAATCTGACCAGATTCAAACAGAATGAAATCGGTTTAGTGTTGATGTGTAAAAACTTCCAGCTGCATTTTGCTTCATGTGCCTAATTCTCCCATTCACCTCAGCTAGAAACAAGTCCAAACTTACCCTACGGAAAGACACGACATAGAAGGTGTCGCCGCGGCGGTTCAGCTCATCAAAGAAGTCGGTGTACGTGTGACGAGGGGCGTAGTACACCTGCAGCTCACTGCCAGGACTCCTGTGGAAGAAACGCAGATAAATATGAAAACACTCGTCAGAGGAATATGGTAGCAATGAAACCTACAAACATTCAAGCATGCATACTTGTAATTAACTGCAGATAGTAAATGTAGGATAATCTGTAATATATTTCAACTATATGATTTATATCACAGCATCCTATTTGATTTCTGCTTGTTCAAACACCATCAACTCAAACAGCAACTACTAAAACATCACAGTGGTCTGTGCCTCAGTATAACAGACTTGCCCAGTAATTTGCTGCTGGAGCACAAAGTAAAGCCTAAAAACTGCTACTTCGCTGTCTCACTGCAGCATTGAGTACTTCCTCCTATTTTTGGTGTTATGTTTTTTTCATCTGGCCTTACAGAGGTTAACTTCTGAAAGTGATTTTCTTTCATTTTCCTATGAACTCAGATATTTTGTAGCCAGATTTAAAAGCGCCAAAAAGCCATTGACACCATCTGTGTGATCTAAACTGTGCAGCAGAAAAGTTTCTCGTTCATCGCCAAACTTCTAAAGCGGTGTGCAAGGGTCATCCTTTAAAAATCCCTGCATCATAAATCGAATATTATAAAACTGTAAAATATAAAAAAAGGGGACAAATGCCAAAAACGCTCCAGTTTCTATTTAAAGCAACGCTTTGGTCAAATTCTACTAAAACACCAAAACATGGCAGGTTATTATGTCTACAGGTGCATCAACTAATCAACCTTCATTAAAACAAAACACCTGAAATTTTCTGTAGCCGGCCTTTACTTACTTTTCCGCAGTAGTTTCTGTGTATTGAACCGTCACAATCTGGCTGCCTTCATCCTCCTTATTTCCTGTTTTCTGTCAGGGAAAAACCAGACAATTAGCTATAATCTGTGCAACCACATCAATGCCCATGAAAGAAAACAGTAAAAATAAACAGTATTGCCTACATAAAAGCAGACTATACTTTCAAAACTCCTAGAGATCCACACACACACACACACACACACATGTGTCAAGGTTTTCTCCTGATAAATTACATCTCGTTCAGAAATTTTACAGCTGTCATGAAGAAATAAAGACTCAGGTGGTGATCCACAGGCACATGTTACGTCAGAGTGAGCAGATTTACTGTTCAACTCCAAAGGCCGAAAGGGTAAAACAGCTGAATACAGACAGGCAATAAACACCTCCACCTTTTCTGTTAATACAGATAAGAACAACGTGTGTATATATGAAGTGGGCAGATGGTCGGCTTTAGTAGACTGGACCTGCTGTGACAGATTTTGAAAAAAAAAGAAAAAAAATGGAAAAAAGGAGCAGGGGGCACTAATCCCATAGCTCCCCTCTAAGTGTTATGTTTACTTTCTCAGGGCTGCCGGATTAAATTCAGCCCAATAAAGAGAAACGAGAGGCAGAAAAAGGGGTAGGTGTGACTGGAGGTGAAACAGTGGTGAAAGACAAGCTTTGGGTTGCCAAGAGACTTTTAAAGTGGAATGGCTTGAAATCCAAATGAGGTTTAGTTTGCAATATGTATTGCCAGCAGCAAATATCACGTAAATTTGTGCACGGACCATTACGTGTGTTTTACTGTTTTGCAAAACACGCTGCTGTGACTTACCAGAATCGTCCTGGTGGGTTTGTGGTTGCTGTTATTCTCTCGTCTCGATTTGGTCTGCTGAACTTCGTGACGGTGGACCCAACCCCTCAACTCATGGGCCAGCCTGCCAAATTAACACAGTGCGTCTTTGCATTTTAGCATGAGGGGAAACATATGGACAGTAAGCTGTATTTGAAATAAAGTTACTTACTCAATGCACTTGGTCCTGTTGACAGAAGGCTGGCAGGGCGGAGATGGTCTGACAAAGATGGGATCCTTTACCACCATCAGGGCTTTATCTTCAGATCTAAAACAGAATAAAAAGCACAGAGATGTGAAATAACCAAAGAGCCAAAACTTTGCACAGCCACTAAGATACTCAAAAATCTACGTCAACCTGCTACAAATATTGTGAATAAAGAGCAAGAACTAATATGGCTGCATGCAGTTCACTGCAGGCTAAGTACCCATGGTGGAATAAGTAACAGGGAACAAAGTGGCACCAAATTGGAATTCATCATGGCTTTAATGTGGTGATAATTACACTAGGAACTAATAGTGTAATTATTATTTTGCACATGTTGAGCAAAAAATTCTTTTTGCTCAACATGTGCAGAGGTGGCAGTGATCCAATCGCTGAATGCATGCATGAAGACATATACTTGCATCAAAGGGGCGAGTGCAGCGACGCATGCTGCTGTAAATCCTGCGCACAATTATCATAAACATGCTACAGAGTTGAGCATTGCCACCCAAATGGTCACATATAGTCTGACTCTGAACACAGACAGATGAAAACAATCAAACGTTACCACATTTAAGTTCAAATGATTAGCACCACGCAGCACCTCCTGACTTTACTCTGCAGATTTTACTCCCTGACTCTGGTTAGAGAGTTACAGAGAGTGAATGTAACTCTCGAGGTGCCGATGTAGACTACCCAAAGAAAGTGCCCACCTGTGCGGGGCTTTGTTAAGAAAAATGTAAGTCAGCGACGTAATCCCTCCCCTGGGCCTCACCGATGTGAGCCAATTTGTTGACTATGCCTCATTTTCCCGTCTCTTAATGTCCTGGAAATGGTTCCATGAGACAACATGTCAGACCAAAGAGGCCTGATAGTAAGTTTAAAAGAGGGGCCCATTTTAACCTTCAAGCACATGAGCAGCTTCCTGTTCAGTGGGACCCTAAGATTAGATCGCATATCTCCCCAATCATTCTTCTCACTGCTGGGTTTGGTGCTGTCACCCCTTTTGCAAAGGCTAATGTGTTCCTTCCTGCCTGCGCTGTGTTTAATGCTGCTGAGAAACTTGATACTACACAAGAACAGTCTGCATTAACATGTGACAAAGCCTAGGCAGAGATCTAACACACAACGCAGGATGCCTTGGAGACGTTAGATGTTTGATCACCTTGCAAAACATAATTTTCATGACATGGGGAGTCAGGTATGGTACCAAACAGGAATGTTATTCATGCAATTTACAAATTGCAGGATCTGGAGTGCATTTAGAAAAAACAAAGAATATATACATAAGCACATAGAAAAATAAACTATTAACAAGATACAGCTTTCTGTCAAACAAGAACTGACCCCAATTTCTCACCTTGCAGTTCAAAGCGCAACTACTAGACTACAGCAAGGACGCTGGAGGCATTCAAACGGCTGTTTGGACAAGGTAGGTGATCAGCTGCCACTTGTGTTTACATGGGCCTTAATGAGCTTCACCGGTTCAGACTGAGCACAGGTGCATCCTGGTCTACTTACATACTGGATAAACATGCTGTTGTGAAGGCAGTTAGGGGGTTTAGCTCATTACCTGTC